CTTTTGCCACAGTTTATGTTCCTTTTTGTTTTCCTCACTTGGGAAGGATTTGCATTTATGGAAGGACCCCTCCTTTCCCTTTAAAGCCTCTGTAACTCTGCTCGTGAACCACGCCGGCACCTTTTTTTTAATTTTGATTTTTTAAAATTTTTATTCTAATTTTTTAATACAAAAAATATACAACAAAAAAAGTACAAATAATAGTGCTTATTATAAACTAAATTCTAACGTGCACCCCATACCCATGGGACTCCATTTAACAATATTTTAATTACAGACTACCTCTCCAAAATTGTATAGAATATTCTTTAGAGGCTTTCCCCCTTCCTTCCACTAACACAAATTCCACAAATTTACCCAAATATCATAAACATTGTTAGAGCTTATTTCCCCTCTTTTTATTTTGAGTTCAATAGTCAATTTATCGTTTAATGCAATGTCCCATTCTTCACTATACCAATCTTCTATTTTAATATCATTTTTGTCTTTCTAAAACCTAGCTATTAATATTCTAGCACTTGTCATAAAATTTGTAATTAATTCTTTTGAGTAATAATCCAAATCTGTACTGTATTATAAAAAATTGACAATAAAGCAATTTTAGCATTAAAATCAACATCTTTACCAAATATATCACACATTTCCTTAAAAATCAATTTCCAAAATTTCTTAACCAGTTAGCAATCCCACCACATATGTCCTCATCACATTTCCAACATGCTTTGGGGTATGCTGGGTTTATTATATTTAGTTTTACAGGAGTCAAATACCATCTTAAACAGATTTTGAAATTGTTTTCCTTTATTCTTGTCGACATTCATCTTAAAACTCTCATCCTCCACATTTTTATCCAATCCTCTGTTTTAATTTCTGTCTTTATGTCATTTTCCCAAATTAATTTCAAACCTTCTTGTGACAACCCCAGACCTACTGGAGTATGCCACCATGTACTTATGCTGCCACCAACCATTCCCTGTAAGAAGTCACACAGACCAGGAATGGATTTTACTAAATAAAAGAACAAGGTTTATTGAAATAACAAACAGGGTACATAAAAGAATCAGGTAAATAGGATAATGTAACGTGGCATAACCCCAAACATACACATATAACAGATTGGTTCCCCCAGAACCCTTTAAGGTAACGCACAGACCCTGAACCTATCAGTTCTGGCTACCTAAATAGAAACCTGAACCTATCAGGTATGTACTAACTGACACACAGTTGTACTCAGTCTGACACACAGACTCCAACTCCTCACTCTCCACACAAGCTCCACATATATATACAGTACAGCTCCTCCCCCCTGATGTCCCGCCTTCCACTCCCCATAGGATGGAACTTTCCCTCCAAACCCATGACAGACAGGTACCATCAGTGCTGTATGTGACACCTCCCCTCTTTATAAGTTGTTTTGCGGGAGAAAAGCTAAAGTGCTTTTCTCCAAAAAAACAACCAGGATCAAAACACAAAACAGTTATACAACTCTTTTGTTGACTATGAGGGCTACTCCATTCCTTCTACGGGATTCTTGCCCACAATAGTAGATATGATAATCATCTGAACTGAATTCGCCCATTCCTGTCCATTTTAGTTCACTGACGCCCAGGAACTCACTTCTGTGTCCAATCAGCACAGATGTTGCATCACCCCTGAGCAATTATGACTCAGCACTTTAACACACCTGAACATTATGGCTGCTCATTAAGACATTTGTACTGCTCAGGCCTGTAAATTGTTTTACTTTGACACACCTGGCAGATCTGCTTGGACTATATTCCAGCCTTGAGCACGGGGATGGACTTGATGGCCTTGTAGGCCCCTTCCAACTTCACTTTTCCATGATTCTATGGTTCGATCTTGTGTTTGGCTCCTGGACAGCATTCCTAAATTGGCCACCTGCTAATTGAAAGGTGAGGGGCTAGAAGGTGTGAAATATATAAGCCTCTGACTTAATACAAAGGCCAAGAGAGGATTAATATAAGAAATAACATGTAGAGTAAGATTTTCTACTTCAAGACTAGGAATAAAACCAGATTCAGCCATATCCAGGTATCACTCCTCTCTTTTTAAATTCTGACAAATGAAACAATGCTGAATTTAAATCTGTTTATCCCTATCCTCACGATTCCTGCCAATCAAGTCTGCTCACACATCATTGACCGAATACTACTCCTTTGGGGGCATCCTGATACATACGTGTTTGATTTATATTAGGCACACAGGCCACCACGATGCAGGAGCATCCTCTCAGTGGCTAACCTCTCTCACAAAACCATGTTCTTGACGGAAACTATTTCAGCCTGTAATTTTGCTTGTCTTTCCGTAGTGACGTTCTCCAAGAGATCTATGGCTCCTGAAGTCTTCTATACAAATTCTGCCGCAGTGGGAGTGTCTCTATAGTTAATTTTCTGAGGCCTCTACTGCTGGAAACAAGGCTCCTTCCTACTTGAGTCTCTGTGGACCATTTCCAGGCCTCCAGACAAGACCCTCCTGCTGACCTGTGTGGCTTGAGGAGAAGAACTTGGATCTCATTGAATACCTTCTTCAAGAAGGGCCATTTGGGCAGCACAATCTGCCCAAGGTTGTCTGTCGTGAAGACAGATGTCTCATCTGTGGGTGGTTCGCCCTTCAGAAACCAAAGGGTTTTTGATCTGGAGGATGATAGCACACCAAACTCACAGTGATTCTATGATGGACTGAGACCCACCATCCATCTCCATTCTACTGGATTCTACCCCTTCTTTGACCCAGATGGCCACCCCACCTCCCACACGCCCCCTCCCTATCCCTCCTGGATAGCCTGGGACTGCGGAATCTATGACGGCCGCTGTATCCATGCTCTATCTAGCCTCCAAATGTTCCAGTTCTCCCCTTTGCTCAGATGCTTCAGGCATTTGTGTAAAAAGCGCCTGGGTATGGGGTCCCCCCAAAAAGATGGCTTGTTTCTTTTTTCCTATAGAGAGCTCCTTGCAATGAGGACACACCCATGACACTTTTGCCCAAGTTGCAGGTAGTCGTGCAGGGGACCCTCAGTGCAAAACACGGGATAGCCCCCAACCCACTGCTGTCTTCCTGACTGCATGCTGGGTTTTTGTTTCGAGCTTCCCAAACCTCTTCTTCGAAGGACGCGAGAGGCAGGATC